AATGAACCGTCCCAACGCCGCCAGGCGCCCGTTCAGGATCTGTACTTCGTTGGGCGTCTTCGGGGGTTGAAGGCGCCTGATTGCCTCCACTTGCCTGGGGTTCGCCTCAATTCCTCTCTTAGTTATCATGAAGCCCAAGAACTTCCCGGCCTCCGCTCCGAATACGCACTTCAACGGATTGAGGCGCAGGGAGTGAGCGCGCATCGTCTCGAAAGTTTCCCGTAGATCCTTCAAGTGATCCTCTTTCTTCTTGCTCTTGACTACCAGGTCGTCCACATATGCCTCTACGTTCCTCCCAATTTGCTGCTGGAACACGGTGTTCACCATGCGCTGGTAGGTGGCGCCCGCGTTTTTTAAGCCAAACGACATAACTCGGTATCGAAAGTTGCCAAACGGGGTTATGAACGCGGTTTTATCACGGTCCTCCTCGCACATGAGGATCTGATGGTACCCTGAAAACATGTTGAGGAAGCTCAGCGCCTCATGGTATGCGGTCGCGTCCACCAATTGGTCAATGCGTGGCATGGGGTAGGCATCCGTGGGGCATGCCCGATTCATCCTCCAGTCCCCCGTTGCCTTGGGTACAAGCACCACGTTTGACAGCCACGTCACGTACCGTGCCTCCTCTACGAATCCGGCGTCCAGTAATTTCCCAACTTCCTTGCGCAGGGCTTCCTCCTTCTCTTCCGAGAGGGGCCTTCTTTTCTGCTGAACGGGGCGTGCGCCCTTTTCCACCGAGAGGCGGTGCAGCGCAATCTCGGGTTTGACTCCTGGCATCTCCTTGGCGTTCCACCCGAACAGATCAGCGAATTTCTTCAGGAGCTCTACCAGGGTCTCGGCTGCCTCTCCGGTCGTGTGCGCGGATATGCGCACACATCGCTCGGGGCGCTCCGAATCCGGGGGAACTTGGATCTCCGAATCAGCGGCTTCCGCTCTCGGCGTGTCCTCCGGCCTCACATCGATGTTGTACATTTGCATCCTCTTTGCGAGTCGCGCCTCCGGCGATGCCTCGCCGCGCGACACCCCCACTCCCTTCGGGGTAATGAATTTCAAGACCTGGTGGCACGAGGATGCGACCCCGTTGAATAGGGCCAACAATGGGCGCCCAAGATGGCGTTGTACGGGGAAGGGCAGTCCACAATGCCGAACTCCACCGTGTGCGTCGCGCGATGTTCCTCTTCCCCTAGCGTCACGGGCAGGCGCACGCGCCCGATGACTCGGGCCGGTATTCCCGAGAACCCAATTAGGACCGAGTCCGCAGGACGGACAAGGCTTGGAGACAATTGCATTTTCTCGAAGGTTGACATGAACAACACGTCCATTGAGCTCCCCGTATCGACCAGCATTCTCTTCACCTCGCATCCGGCCACGACACCCCTGATTTCCAGCGCTTCTACGGACGGCACCCGGTATGCCTCCTCGGAGGCTTCATTAAAGTGAATTTGTACCGCCGCGCGAGCGCTGGCGGTGGCCAACTTCAGGCGCCTCCCCTCTTCCAACTTCTTCCTTAGATCCATCGTGCCTGAGATTGCTTCGATCGTTAACCTCACGCGTTCCGGGTGCGCCTCAGGTTCAATATTGAATGGGGGCGGGGGCAGTCCCTCGACTTCCGCGGTGGCATCCTCCTTCGCGCGCTCCACCTTCCCAGGCGCATCCTCCGTCCTTTTCTCTTGCGCCATGAACGTTCTCTGCGCCTTCTCCTCCCCCCTTCTCACGAACTCGTTCAGCATCCCTCGGTCTACCAGACCTTGGATTTCGGACTTGAGTTGGTAGCAGTCAACGGTGTGGTGACCCCGCTCACGATGGAACTCGCAATACCTATTGAGGTTTTGCTCGTTCGGGCGCCCTCTCATGGGTCCCGGCCAGCGGATATGGTATCCCTTATCCTTCACAAATTGCAACACGTTTTTCAGCGAGTCGTTGAGCTCGGTGAAACTCCCGCCTCCTGTGGGCGCAAAACGCGGTTGATTTGGGTGCCTCGCGCCCATTGGGTAAGACGAAGGCGGAATAGGGGCAGGCGGCATGCGCTGCGCTCTGGCCCCCTCAGTCTCATCGGGGCGCACGTCTCTTCTCTCCATTCTTCTTGCCGACAATGTCTCCTCCAGCATGATCACCTTCTGCACCCTTCGATCCAGATCCTCCGTTGACACCACGTCCCGCTTCGACAGTGCTCGGCATAATTCCTCACTCGTGGTGCATTTGTCCAGGCAACATCTGATAGATCGTTAATTACACATATTTTCACCCCTATTCTGGAGCCGTTTGTGATGAGGAATCTCGTGTTTTAAGCCGATTTTACGCTAGGTTGTGTGTTTGTGTCATATTTCAGGTCCCGGCGTTGGAATCGAGGCGGAGAAACGAGTTCTGGGTCGAAAGGAGCCGAGTTGGGACTAAGGGGGCTGCAGGAGGAAAATACCCGGTCGGATGGCAAAATACCCGACCGGGTATTTATCGTTTTCGGCACCCGGTCGGGGATTACGAGAAGAGACCGGGGATTTCCCCCTTTAACGAAACGGCGCATTTTAGAAATACCCGGTCGAAACCCGAAATACCCGACCGGGTATTTCGACCGGGTATCGCGAGGGCAGCTGATAAAAGAGAAAGAAGGCCAATTTTCAGAGGGTTCCGAGTTTTTGAGAGAGAAAGCGATACCTAGAGAGAGAAAGCGACGAACCAGAGTTCCCAAGCGCCATAGATCGATCTTCAACACCATTGGAGACCGGCTTGAGCTTGGAGAAGTGCGATTAAACGTCCAGGAGCATAAATCCATCTTTACAGTATGATTTCCGCGTCTGAATCTGCTTTTGCTTCTTTCTCTATGGAGTAGTTTCCCCCATTCATCTGGGTATGGGGAACCCTAGATTTGTATGCTAGGTCTGATTGTATGAACCCAAGTGCAGAGTTTGTGAATTGATTATATTCGATTGAGGTTTGAATGATTGAATGACTTGGATCCTTATCAAATTCCTGTTGTTTCTGCTTTGACCTGGAATGAGAATATCTGCCTAGGTTGATAGAGTACCCTTAATCGAAGGTGGCGAATTGGTGACTTTAGTCGAGGAGCCAATTCGCTATTCTGTACCGAAGTCTATTCGGTAGTGGAGGTTTGGTTCATTAGGGCCTCAATCTGTTTACTCCGGTGGAGGTTAGTCGCCCGCTAGAGACTCATATTGAGAGGGTCTGGAGACCTTTAGTCGAGACTTCAGGCTAATTGAGAACCTTCCGCAGTATAACTTTCATGAAAACTGAACTTGGTAAATTGCAATCTGACTTAGCTGCAGTCTAGGGGGAACCATATCCGGGTGACCTCTCTTAACCTGAAAACAACCGTTTAGTTGCTTTTCTTGCTTGTTAGTTTAGATCTTCACTAAAGTTTCATTGCTAGATAATACGAATTCACTGAGTAGTCGTCACATCTAGGATCCGGGTTGACATTAAAACCCAAACCCGCTATACTACGCTTTAGGAAGTGGTTACACTTGGCCAATTTCTAGAGTGGCAGTAGGAGTGAGTCAACATCCCAGTACCGGTGGCTTGACGTCTTTGACCGCCATGGCCACTGACATCCAGCGCTCGTAGAAGTCCCGGAGCGCCTCGCCCTTACGCTGTCTGACTTTAAATAGCGCACTGATGGTGAGGCTCCGGCGCTTCCGACTGGCAAACTTTGAGAGGAATAGGGCAGCGAATTGCTCGAACCCATCGATTCTCCCCTCCTCAATTTGATGGTACCAGTCCAAGACTACGCCCGTGAATGTGGAGGGAAAAGCGCGACAAAAGGTGGCATCCGAGCTGTTGTACAGCTGCATCTTGGTGAAGTAGTTGTTTAGGTGATCCTCCGGATCGGTCGTCCCACCATAACTAGGAAGCGCTGGGATGACTGAGTTTGCTTGTTCGGCCAATATGCTCCGTGCGAGCGGCTGCCTAACCCCCCATGCCCTTCCATGACGGCGGTGCGCCCATCCGTTGTGTTCATCAAAGTCCGAGGCCATATGCTTCGTCAGGTGCCCCAAGTCCTCCGTGCGCTTCAGTGCACTGGACGCCCCCTCTTCATCCTCCTCTCTGACCCTTCTCTTTCCACCCGGGGGGGGGGGGGGGGGGGGGCGCCGCTCCTTCCCCTTTCTTCAGTATCTCCACTTCTTTTCTAAGTGCCTCCAACGCCTGGTCCTGCTCTCCAATTATGTGAAGCAGATGCTCCTTCGTGAGGGTGACGCCCTCGGACTGGGCCGTCCCCTGCGCCTCGTCCTCGACCCCTGCATGCGCCTCTCGGGATGCTTCAGCGGCCGCTGGCCCTCCTTTTCCCTCGACTCCTCCTGGCGCCTCCATGACCCCTTACTCGCTTAGTAGTATGCGTATACTTACTCCCCCTATCTGGCGCGCCAATTGTTCGTGCCCAGTAACTATGCGCCCCGAGACTTCGCACGCAATCCTCCGGTATGCCTTCCCCTACATGCAACACGGCTAACTTGAGCCCAAGGCTGGGCTCGTTAGCACTCCGACGCCCAAGTCAGTCACAGTTTCTAGAGAGAGAAGTGAATAGTAATTCTAGAGAGAAGCCCCAACCTGAGTAAATGAGGTTCACCAACTCTCCTATTTATACCTCGGGTCTGCCCGACCAACATCCTCGCATCCCGCCTGTCGCCTGACCCGCATTTAATGCACCGTACGGCCCGGTACCATGCGTCTCGACCACCTGACACCATACTCAGGCGGTCGAAGGCGCGTGACGTCAGCTGGTCCCTCCTCCGTACCTCCCTATCCGCTACGCACCCTTGTCGTATGCGCCCTGTGTCAGAGTCTTGGTCCCACCTGGCCTGGGTGCTCCTCTCTGTTGGGTGGGCTGACTTCCTTTTGCCCCCTTGGGCCTACCGGGTTGGGCTCTAAGACTTAGCCCATCCATCCTTGGCCTTGGGCCTGCTAATCCTGACCCTTTTGGGCCGAGGCTATGCCCCCAACAGGAAATGTCTTGTGTTTGTCATAAACTTTGACTGCAATTTGCTCAGGTGTCATGTCATGGAGCAACGACAGTCGATATATCTATACCCGAAACTGTTAGCCCAATTCCCGTATGGATCACTAGGGAATAATTGTGGCCCAAGTGTAATTATCACTCCATGCTATTATGATTTATGTTTACAGAAACGACAGCGTGCTGGCAGCGCTCTGGATATGAGACATCCATCATCTCGAGCTAGCTGCCATCTTGGTGCAGAAGGACCCCATAAGAGCAGCAGCATGGGACCCAACAATGCAGCCGTCTGGTTCTCTGCACAGGTAGCTCTCACTTGTATGTATGGTCCCCTGCTGGGGCGTACTGTGTCACTAATCCCCTCCTTGAGTTCTCCATAATTGATCTGATGAAATGGAACTTCGGTGGAAGTTGCCTTCTGCTCAAGGACAAAGACTCGTTCTGCTGTGCTGTGCTGCAATGCCTTTGTTGCCGGAGTCCAGCGAATATAGCTCTGATGAATGAATGATGACAAATACCTTACAGGCATCAATGAGAAACCAAAGCAGTGGTAGCTGTCACCGAAGCTTTTTGTGTATGTTAGATTGCTCCCACCAGCTGTTGTAATCGAGAGTAGAATGCCTCCGGCTCATGCTTTGTTGTAAAAGTACGGTTGGTAACATGTCGTATCAAATTTTCTGTTTTCTCTGTAAACCATTAATAGAAGCCGCCTGAGCGAACGTCAAAAGCTAACAAGTGACTTCTAATGTCCTTGTCATTGTGTTTGTTCATCTTTTCTATTATCAATAAATTATTTTCACTCTCATAAAAAACAATGTCCTCCTTATGGTTCTCTCTTATGGTTTTCTTGTTATGAAACGACCACTTCAATTAATTAAAATAGCATTTTTTTTTTTTGCAAAAATTTACAACAATATACCGTTCAAATTTGAAAAAGAAACAAAATTATGAATGATTATTTTGCCTTTAAGGTCATAGTATATGCATATATGTGGTAACACAAAGTTGGAAAATGACAGTATAATAGGCTATTAGTCCCAAGATCAAATTTCAGTCTTGGGAAGTTGTTCCCAATCTTTTTGTTAATAAACCCTTCTCACACATTATACGAGATAAGGTGTATGTAGTAATTGATATAGATGAAGAACAACTAGATAACACGACTTAATGGTGATCGATTTATGACTATGAGGTAACATATTATGAAGCTTAGACTTGTAAATTTATTTGGTGGTGTAAAATATGGAAGAGCGCACAATAAGACAATCAACTAGCTGTACCAAAAGATGTACGTAATCATCACAAATTTTCAAGACTTGGAGAGAAGTTTTTCGATAGATTGGGGAACTGCCGGTTTTGAGAAGCATCATGCTTCCGGCGGATGTTCAGACAAGACAGGGCGAGACTAGAAAAGAAGATAGCTATATAGCTGCAACTTCCATTAGCATCCCAGTCCGGCTCAAGACAACATTGGAATAGCAGACGGCATTGGCTGTGCAGTGACGTCTGAAAGCGTAAGTCGACAGATTCCCCCTGTGTTTCGGATTATTGGGTTGGAAGGCGCCTGACTTGGCAGAATCGTTTTCTTCTGGAGAAACAATAACTTGGTAGATAGATAGATAGATAGATAGATGGGTTGATTGATTTCTGAGTCAAAAATTGGAAGCAGCAGAGACAGAAACGTATTGTCTTGCTTGCCCACGGCCACTACTAAGCAGTAGGTGAAGTTTTGAAAGGATCCGTTCGGCGGCAGGCAGATAAGATCCGCTGCCGCCAAGCACCTTTGCGGTCTAAGCCTTGATGTGCTCATTGCCGACTGTCCCACAAAACGACAGGAATCGGCTTTTCTGGGTCTGCAATTAGTCGTGTGACTTTGTTAGTGGTACCTGTCAAAGAGTTTTAACCTGGGTGGGCTGCTGCCGGGAGTTTTTAGGACTCTTTGGTGACATGTAGAACGCTTTGTTAATTATGTCAAGGTGTTATAATTAACTTTTTTTTTTTGGTAAAAGTGAAGGTGTTGTTTCTAGCATGTGTACCTTTTTTCATCAAAATTTTTATTTTAATTTAAAAATTAAAAACAAAAGGTGTTGTTACTATATAAAATTAATTTTTATTTTTATTTAAAAACAAATTTTTATTATAAGAATTTCGTACTATGCAATACACATTTTCACTATGGTTAGGGGTGGCTATACGGTCCGGTCTGGTTAAATTGACCCAAATTGATCCGGTCCAGTCCGGTCTTTTTGAAAATATAAGGACCAAAGATTGGATTGGATACAGTCCGGTCTTGACCCGGTCCGGTCCCAATTCGGTCTTGATTTTATATTGAACTTGTGGGGATTTGAGTGGCCTAAGACCTGAAAGGGTGAGGAGTTGGTTAAGTTTTGTATTAAGTGCAAAGGTTTGTGACCGTTTATGCAAATTACCCTTAAGTTTTGGGTGTTGAGCTCTCTTATCCGGTCTTTATCCAGTTTTCAATTCGGCCCCGAACGGTTTTTTACCTCAAATCTAAGCCCAAAGATTGGAATGGATTGTTTACTATCCGGTCCCGGTCCGGTCTCGATCCGGGTTATACGGTCCGGTTTTGGGTAAAATAGCCAAATCCGGACCAAATAGCCAAACCCGGACAATGCAGAACATATTGTGAATAATGTGATGGGGTTAATATATATATTTTTTTTGTAAAATTGATGGTATTTCTAGCATGTGTACCTTTTTTTCATAAAAAAATTAATAGACTATATAAATTTTTATTTTAAATCAATTTTTCATAGAAAATCGTATTTTCATACTTTGCAATACACATTTTCCCTATGGCGACCGTCGCTCACAGAGCCTCACCGAGTGTCATTGGCGGTGGTCGATCTTGTGCTTCTCTTTTTGGAACTTGAGAGGACAATCGACTAGAGCAGGAGCGGACCAACCTTATGCTTAGGTGTGTCAAGCAACACGCTCCGTCCGAAATTTGTGTGAGAGATCCATATTTTGACGGTATAAAAAATTAAAATATGGAACTCCCAACACACCTTCGAAAATTGTAACTGACACATCTTTATTATGTTACAAAATTTTGTTGTCTAAAAGTTATTAAAATATGTAAATATAGGAGTTATTAGCTTTCAAATTAGGCAGTTAATTAGTTGGTTATACGAGAATAAACAAGTAAATGGATACTTAGTACATAATGAGTATTTAGAGAGATAACTATCACCTTAGAGATAACATCGGTCATTCGAATAAAAATTAAATTGATTAATAAAAGGGTTGAGTCAAGTAATTAGATAGGTGAATTCCAGGCCGTCTTTCCCCATATCTTCTTTTCGTCAAATTTTCTTATAGTTATTTTCCAACTTGCTTTCTACTTTAGTTATTGCGTTACATTTAATTTATACAAAATCACTTTTTTCTTTTCAGTTCCTTAATCTTATTCATTAAATCTATATTTGTACGATATATGTGGCGTGATAATATACTTGATCTTATTACTCCATCGGTAATTTGCATAGATAAAAAAATCTTGGATTTGTAACACAACCATAAATGTAATTAAGAAACCTTAAAAGTTGTAGTGGTTCAATATAAAAAACATGAAATTGTTAAGTTTCTGAATCAAATTTTGTGTTAATTTTTTAATTAATTAATTTTTATCTGTCGACATACCTATTCAATAATCCTGGGTCCGCCACTGGACTAGAGTATTTCGAATAAGAGTTTGTCAACGGATCTCTAAGAATTCTAAAGACAGTTGTGGAAGAGGGGGCCAAGCGGCTAGAGAATAGCTTGGTTGGACAAATTTGGCGATCTTCCCCGTTTCTTGCAACGGTTCATTTATGGCCAAATCGGTTATGGGGGAGGGAAGGTGAAGTAATAGTTTCTTGATTTGAGGATACACTCATTCTATTCTAGGTTGTTTGCTTCATGAATTTGAGGCAGAGATTTAATTTCAAATATTCCATAATTATCATGGATTTAGCATAAACCCATTTTTTTCAAGATTTTGATGGAAGTACCAAATTCATGGGACCCATGAATTTTAAAGGTCCAAATCCATGAATTCCATGAACTTGCAAATCCCAAATATGGTGTGAGATTGGAACATGATCACAAATCCGTGGACCCTATGATAATAGTTACTTATATATCCTCTTGCCTCAAGAATATAAAATAAGTAAATAAATAATGATAGTTTGGTAATTCATATATCAAAACTACAAAACCATAACAATCAATCCGTAAACAAAATCCATCAAACAAATATAAAACTTTTCAAATCCATACAAATCCAAGGTTTTCCAAGATTCGGGTATTGACTCAAAACCTCATATCCATCCAAATCCACGAAGCAAACTGTTGATGTAACTTGAATCAGACTATCAGCCGCTACGACTGGTAGTCGGGGGTCTCGTTGCCCGGTTAGCGAGTGGGGTCCAGGGGCAACCGTTCCCTTTGCCAGATTGGATTAGGTTTAGACCCACATGGAGAAGTACTATAAATACTTCTCATACTCCTCTGTAATCTGTAATCTCCTCGATATAGTGAAACTGGCTCTCTCTCTCACCCGTGGACGTAGCTAACACACATCGTGTTAGTGAACCACGCAAATCGTGTGTCTGTGTTTTTTCGATTCTCGCTTTCGTATTCTTGCTTTATCAATCCCGATGATTTCCCGATCCGTAGCAGCGCGTTTATAACAAGTGGTATCAGAGCCGCGGCTGAAAATCAGGCTAGGGTTTTCGATTCAGAAGAATGACGTCGGTGAACATGAAGATCGAAAAGTTCACGGGGAAGAACAGCTTCGTTATATGGCATATCAAGATGCAGACTTTATTAAAACAGCAAGGGCTGTGGGGGCCGCTGTCTGCGATACAGAAGAAGGGAGCGGTCGATGACGATGAGTGGAATACCCTAGAGGAGAAGGCCCACTCGACCATCATGCTATCGTTGTCTGATGACGTCATCATTGAAGTCGCTGCTGAGAAGACTGCCGCGGGCTTGTGGTTAAAGTTGGAGAGTCTGTATATGACGAAGTCCTTAACCAACAAGCTGCATCTCAAGCAACGGTTGTTCAGCTTGAGGATGCAAGAAGGTACGCCTTTGAGGGAACATCTCGAACAACTTAACTCTATTTTGCTGGATCTGCGTAATATAGATGTTCAAGTTGATGACGAGGATGCTGCCCTAATCCTGCTGGTTTCTTTGCCGAGTTCATATGAGAATTTCGTTGATTCTTTTTTTGCTGGTAAAGAAAGCGTGTCGTTGGAGGATGTCAGGTCTGCTCTTCATACGAGAGAGATCAGGCATAAGGCGTCCGGATCTGGTACAGGTGGTGAGGCATCAGGTTTGGCTGTTACAGGTGGAAAGGGAAAGAAGAAATCTGGTAAAGGGAATTCGAGCAAGAATTCCAAGGGTCCCGGCCCACAGCCAGGTGATGCTTGCCACAACTGTAAGGAAGTGGGGCATTGGAAGTACAACTGTCCCAAGAGAAGAGGGCAACAGAAGAAACAAGGTTCAGTTGTCGTGGCAGAAGTGGACAACAGTTCTGAAGACGATCTCACCTTGGCTGTAGATGAGAAGGCACATCGTGGTGATGTGTGGTTTCTTGATACTGCAGCCTCATACCATATGTCTCCGAACAGGGATTGCTTCACAACCTAGGAGCAGATAGATGGTGGTAACGTGGTCATGACTAATGGAGCTGTCTGCAAGGTTGTTGGAATCGGGACCATAAAGGTTCAGACACATGATGATTCGTTCTGTACCGTGAATGATGCCAGGCATGTTCCACGAATGACAAAGAACCT